AAAGGTTTGCCTTCTACATTGGATAAAAGATCCCTCCAGTAATGACTTTCACTTGCAAAGCAACAGTGTTTTTCAAAGAGAAAAACAATCTGTAGCCTTTGGGTCCATTACTTGGAGGTGGAAACTTTTTCAAAAGAAAAGTTCATTTCTTGTGGACCTCTACAGAATATGCTTGGTATAAGCATTGCATTTTTCACTGAAGTAATTGTCTTGAATAGACAATGAAGTTGCGTAATCAGTCTAAAGAAGGCTAAGCAATGTACATGGCAGCTAGATTGCTCTCAAGAGGAGTAAAGTAAGTTGAAAAACTTGATTTGTCACCATAGAACTAGAAACAAATGAAGCGGTTCTTGCAATTCCAAAAAAGTTTGTGCCAAGGTCTTGAAGTGAGATAGATAATAAGTGAATTCCAAATGCTGATTGCTATTCTCAACAGCTGCACCCCTCCGCCCATGTGGATACTATGGTGTAGACTGGATAATTTTCACGGAAAGCCTCTTCTTTGGATTGTCTTGAAGGAAAGGAAATTTAATTTCTGATCATGTGGCCAACTTCTGTTGTGATATTGAGAGAGCTTTCATATTTTGATATCTTTATGATATCTCTCTTGAAACAAAATGGATCATTAGATTGGATGGTGTGCGATGTTTCTACGGGAGAATGGATGATAAGTTTTAGTATGGCACTCCTTTAATTCAAAAGAAAAGAGATCCCTTTAGCCTGTCATGCTCAGAGTAAAAATTATTTCATAATTTGCCTATAGTATCAGGGCCAGAATCCTGTTGCTGTCTAAAGGCCCAATCGTTCTACAGCACATGATTCCACATGTGACGTGAATCATAGGAGCACTTGTATAAGGATTGTCTTGGTGCTGGAATTGGCAACTATACTTTAAGTGAGTGTCCTGGTGTCTATTTCACAAATACATTTCATTGGTTGGGTTCTTCTGAATGAGGTTGGCTTGCATTACTATATAAAGATCATAGTACCATAGAAAAAATAGAAGATCAAAGTACGAGTGGATGATGTGGGTACACTTCATAATATAACACTAAAAAAAAAAGAAATCAATCTCTGAATTTGATTTTTTTTATAATATTCCTTTTTATTGTCTACATTAAAATAACAGGCTGCTGTAGCCATTTGGAATTCAGTGGGATCGATGATTTTGTTTATTTTGTTCTTTGCACCACTTGGTCGATGGAGACGGTAATTCTGTGTAGGCTTTGCAAGTTTGAGCATGATGGAGGTTCCTGTTTTAAGTAGGTTTACATTTAATGAATGCAGGCTCTGGATATGATACGTGGCAAAAACATCATCTTGTTAATGGACTCGCACTTGGAGGGGAAATTTTCTACAGAAGAAGCAACAGTAGTTGTTGGTCTTGCATCCCAATGTTTGCAATATGAACCTAGAGAGCGGCCTAATACAAAGGACATTGTTGCAACTCTTGCACCACTACAAGCCAAATCTGATGTAAGAACGTATGCTTTTTCTGTGAACACAATCTCATGTCTATTGATACACATGGCTTTTCCTTCCCCTATGATTATCCACAGGTATTTTTTGATGGCTCGAAGTATAGATTGCCATTGTTCACTGAATTTGGTAGCAGAGTTCAAAATTATTATGCATACTACTGTGTTGAAATGCCAGAAATAGATGTCAGCACAAAAACTTGATACTGACTTAGCCCATGGGATTATACTCTGCTGAAGTAGAATCATGTCTTTTCATCATAAATTTCTGTTGTCAAAAAGATCAGAGTTTGACTGGAGTTCCCTGCATGTAAGTTAGAGTCGCCAGTGACCTCACTGGACAGTCTGCTGGTGTTGTAATGATGCATTCACAATACATGTTTGATTGAAAAAGAGAACAAGAAGGACCTCTGCAATGATGCAAATATGCTATTTCCTAAATTTAATAATTTGGTGGAGCACCATATCACTCGTCTTTATTATTCCTTGCAAGCTAATGGAGCCCTGTCTGAAATGAATAAATGTGCATTTTGTGGTGTTCACCTCACCCAACGTGCCTTTTCTTGCATTGCCAAAAACTATGCCTGCCAGATACACTTTTTAAGTTATTCCCACTAAATTTTATGAGGTTGTGAGGATGAAAATCACCATGATTCTGGGTTTCAGGTTCCATCTTATGTCATGCTTGGAATTTCAAAGCATGAGGAAGCCCCACCAACGCCACAGCGGCCTCTTTCACCATTGGGTGAGGCCTGCTCGCGGATGGACCTCACAGCAATTCATCTGATCTTGGTGACGACACACTACCGGGATGATGAAGGAACCAACGAGGTACTTGAATTGTACAAGAGGGTCTCTTGCTTGCCCCTGTACTTAAATTCTATGCTAAAGAGGTTTGTGACAATGTGATTTGGTTCAGTTATCTTTCCAAGAATGGACACAACAGATGAGAGATATGCTGGAGGCAAGGAAGCGTGGGGATTGTGCATTCCGTGATAAGGATTTTATGACTGCTATTGATTGTTATTCTCAGGTATGGTTATCTATTTCTTGTGTTCAATTTTAGGTTCTAGTTCCTTTTTTCTATTTGTAGTAAATGTAAAACTTTAGGAACAGTTACATTGAGACACACATCAGAGGCCTATTGGGTATTTGCATGCTCACTGGAGCTCATCTGTTATTCTCTTACCTGAGAAAGTTTTGGATATGTGTATAGTTGTATGCAAGAGACCAAGATGAGTTTTAGACAAGAAATGCTAGATAAGTTGGACAAAAGCACAGCAAAATCTGTTGTAGCCATATTCTCTACTTGCTGAAAAGCAACCCACCTTAGAGCCAAGAGGTTTAGCCTCAGCCTGGAATTGCAGTCCTAGCAACAGGGACACTGTCCAGCAGACCCAACAATCATTGGTTGTATTAAACCTTTCAATCCCTGCTTNGGCCTCAGCCTAGAATTGCAGTCCTAGCAACAGGAACACTGTCCAGCAGACCCAACAATCATTGGTTGTATTAAACCTTTCAATCCCTGCTTTATGTTCTTCTCTTCAGACTTTCATTTTTAAAGCTTCCAAATATGCTGCTGAAGCTATCTAGAAATACTTCAACATATATCCTACCCCAAGAGTACCTCGTTTTAGACGTGCTGTGTTCCTGTTCCCGTTTCCCTTTTGCGACTTGGGTCATTTCATGTTACAGGTAACAATGAACAATACTATTTCATCCCTTGAAGCATTTGAGTTTTTTGCAGATTTAACAAATTCGGGCAAATGATTGAGTACCTCCTAGTAGTTTGCCTCTGTCACACATTACATGTTTTTGATTTGAAGACCTGCATATTTAGTTTTCGATCAATTAATGACCATTATATTTTCCTTTTCGAATTAATGGAATGTGTAAATATAACTCATATTACCCAGCATCCAAACATCCCTTACTCTTTATTTGGACAAAGTTAACTTTTATGCTATAATTAAACATAGTTATACTTTTATGGCCCTTTTCAGACGCATACAGTTGTAAGTTCCATTCGTTTCAAAGCCACATGGGAGTACATGTAGGTTTCTAAAGTTTAGAGAGGTTATGTCTGGCAGGAGCAAACCAAAATCGGGGGTAAACTGTAATTTTTCATAATAAGTTTGAAAACTGTAATATTTGGGCATCATAGCCAGGGAAGCTGCTTGGGATTGTCTAAGATTCTCCCGTTATGCTTGGCTGAAATTGCTAAACTCCTTGGATTCAACTCCATTTACTTTGAGATTGACCCCTAAAGTCCTTTGGGTGTGAATCTTACTCAAGTCTGAGTAAGTCTAAATAAAGGACAGAGGACGTATAAGCATTGTGGAAATAGATCATTTAAACACCACCCTTTTCCTGCTTGAGATAATAAAGTGAGATTCTGACACTATTCTTTCGCCTATCTTTGATATAGTACTAAGGAGGCTCTTTATGCCTTTCAAAANGATAAGCATTGTGGAAATAGATTATTTAAACACCACCCTTTTCCTGCTTGAGATAATAAAGTGAGATTCTGACTCTATTCTTTCGCCTATCTTTGATATAGTACTAAGGAGGCTCTTTATGCCTTTCAAAAGTCAAAGAAAATCCCAAATACTTTGCTTGAGCATTAGGTTTTCCCAGAAGTTCACAACCTAGGTGCATATAAGTACCATCTCATAAGTGTAGACTTTCAGTAGATTAAAATGTCTGGTTGTATCGGTGTAAATGCTATGGTTCTCTATGCTATGTTCTCTTTAGCCATGATAGCTGAGAAAGATTTAAACAGTCATCTGCATAATTAAGCGACTAATTGAAACAATTTGAGAATTACTGACTTCTTGAAAGGCTAACTCAGGTTGACATAAATAGTCCAAGCAAATGAGCAGTTCCAAGGTGGAAGAGAGAGCTTCATGCTTTTAAAAATAAATTAGGAGTTGGAGAATATCCTAAACTTGGGCCACATAAACAATGCGCTTATTGATCATATTAGGTTCTTATCTGTGTTTTGATTCATGGGTTCCTGTAGATGGTTGATGAACAAAACGGGTATGAAACTTGAATATTTTAGCACCTAATGTTTCCTCTATCAGTCTTCGGTCATCCGAATGTATTCTGGTTAATTAAGTTTGCTATTGGCATCTTATATTTTAGGTTTCATTAATATTCTTTCCCTTTTTCCTTTTGTGTGTCCCCTTGGAAATTGTCCATCCAGGGGAGGGGGCGTGTTAGGAATGGAAGGCATGATTCCATGTTTTTTTCTCCTGCGGGATATAAAATCAAGTGCTCGCCTTCCATCCCAATCATGGTCATATTGATGTGATTTTGTGAATGCATTAATGAATTTTCTTTCAAAGCAAAGACCGGTAATCTCCTTTGTATTGTATGTATGTTTTTGTGTGCAGTTTATAAATGTTGGAACAATGGTTTCCCCAACTGTTTATGCACGGCGCAGTTTATGCTATCTCCTATGTGATCAACCTGATGCTGCCCTTCGAGATGCTATGCAAGCACAAATCGTAAATCCAGACTGGCCAACAGCTTTCTACATGCAGTCAGTTGCTCTTGCCAAGTTAGACATGCACCAGGATGCTGCTGACATGTTGAATGAGGCTACTGGACTAGAAGAGAAGAAGCAAAAAGGAGGAGGGAGAGGATCATAGAATGAGTCCTGAATAAATCCATTCACCCGTACCATTTGTTACTTGAAGCCTCCTCTGACTTTGTGCAATCTGAATAGGGAATTAAATTTGTCTCCACAATTTTCAAATGTATGATAAAGAGAAATTTTAGTTGTTGCATAAAAGCAGGCTTATTTCCTCTCCATTTGAAGTATCAGCCTCCATCGGTCTATATCAGACATGGAACCCACACTGCAAAATGTTGGCGCTGAGAAGCTATAAGAAGGCGGCCATATATGTTAATGTTAATTAATTATAAACTTAGATGTTGTTTGTATGATTTTTTTGGACACACTATCATTTGGTTACCTGATGTATGGTATGGTATGGTATGTAGGACTCTTAAAAGTGGTGGTAATTGAATACTTAAATTCATTTCTTGATTTAATAATGTATTATTAATTGATAAAGTCATCTAATAAATATTTTTGGATTATGTCAATGCCACCACATTATTGGACCATTAAATCAATTTTTTTTTTCAATAGATTACTGTTGAACAAAATGAGTATCCGTGTTAATGCTCCCTCCATACTTGTAATTGTATAAGAAATAAGACAGCAGGAATAATGGTGCTGGTATTTTTATTTTTGGCTGGAGGAGACATAGTGTCAGTGCCACTTGTGCATTGCATTGCATTGCATTGCATTTATTTTATAAAGAACTACCATTGCCAATATGTTTTTTAAGGTGTGGTGGGAAGGAGGCATTGCATAGACATCGCCGGAATAGCCTTCGGATCTGAATCAAATCACGTTATCTCTCAATAATTCTGGATGATGAGATTCCTTATGTTCCCTTTCTTTCACCTACCGCCATCATATACATATTCAGACAATGACAGAGAGGAAACATAACTGGCAAGATTAATTTGCTCTTCCAGTTGTGAACTGAGTCCTCTTTCCATTCAGAAAAAAAGATAATGGCTTTCTCTCCTTCCAGATCAAAAACCCGTCACCATGCTCGCTCTATTAGCTTGCCCTCTCGATCTCATCCGCTCATTCTTCAACTTAATGAGCACTTGTGTAGATTAAGGTCCTCCGAAGCTACCTGTTTGACACTGTCCTTAGTGAGCAGCAGACTAAGTGGCCTTGAAGACTTGTATGATTCCATTGAAGATTTGCTTATGTCATCACATTCTCAACAAGCTTTTGGCCAAGAACGCAGTGAGAAATGGGTTGACGAGGTGTTGGATGGATATCTGATCGGTCTCTTGGATGCATGCGCCACCACCAAAGATGTGTTGGCACACATGAAGCAAAATGCACAACAACTTGTTTCAATCTTGCGCCGAAGACGCGGTGAAAATGATGACTTGAGTTGGTACTTAGCCTCTAGAAAGCAGGCGAAAAAGGTGATCCAGAAATCTTTAAAGGGCTTAAAGAGTATTAGAAACAAGAACACTCCCCTGGGCTTGGATAAAGATATTGAAACCGTTGCCATTGTTAGCATGTTGAACGAGGTTGAAGAAGTCACTCTTGCTGTGCTTGAATCTATATTGTCCTATATTGCAGGGACAAAGCAGCCTTCATGGTCTTTGATTTCTAAACTGAGGCACCCTAAAGGTAGAGAAAGTAAACAAGAAGAAACACTCATAAATGAGTTTGATAAGGTCGAGGCTGCATTGAACTCATGCGGTGGTCACAAGACAATCAAATCTGATGCCAACATGAACGCTGAGAATTTGCACAATCATTTGGTGAAGTTAGAATCAAGTGTTGAAGATCTTGGAGAAGGTCTAGAGTGCCTGTTCAGGCGTTTAATCAAAACCAGAGTTTCTCTCTTAAATATTCTCAGCCACTAGCCGAGAAGACCATAGTGCAGATTGCAGCGTTATGAAATACGAAGACTAAGCCAATTGTTTGTCTTTCATACTTGTACATGACAAATATAGTTGAATACTGTCCTCTGATCAAATATAAACAAAGATACTTTGAAGAACCATTGTTCTTACATTATCCCTTTCCTCGTCTTAGAAATTAAACTAAATTAGAACTACGTCATTTGATGCTCATTTTGATATCATTAAGCACACCTATATCCACCCTCCCTCGCAGCAAAGCTAGGACATCATGACGATAGGATCATAGTTGAGCTCTGATGTAGGTGAGCGCAAAGTGTTGGCAGAATAACTGACAAACACTGTCTGTGACACCAGAGCCCTTAGGCATAAGGATTTTTGGCTCAGACTTTCTTGGTCCACGACTTGTGATATCAACAAGGTTATTAGGCATAAGGTTTTTGGCTCAAATTTTTGCAGCCCAACTCTAAAACATACTAGAGGTGAATCACCAAACTCATGTACTGATCACAGGGGCCTAACTCTTAATACAGGCCCTAAGGTTTTTATCAAGTACTCGCGTCGAAAGAGGTACTACTATCAATATATTTAGTTAACAACTTAACACTTTGTTACACCAAGGTACTTAGGGACAAGGTGTAACACACCAATTTTTCTCTTTTTTTTTTTTAAAGACGTTAATTGATATAAAAAAAATTCAATAAAAATAACAGAACACTAATTGTACCAATAAGATTTCATTTATTAAAATCATCTCACAATACAAATAAATCTGTCACCATAAATAAATCTCTCAATACGAATAAAACATCAATTATGTCGACATCTTCTCGTCTTTAATACTCTAATTATCTCGTTCCGATCTTTTCTCTAAAATCAACCTAAAAATATTAAATAAAGCGGGAAAGTATATAATATAACAAGGAAAAAAATGTTCAAGGACATTGAATAACAAATAATCAAGTATCACAAAGTATCTCAATCAACAAATACAAATATTATATTTACATATCACACGTTATGCAAAATCTTAATATAGATCTGACACCTCACCAATCACTCCACCTCAACCCGATCTCACGGGTCTCTTGACTAGCTATGCATCGATTATTGGTTGCCACGATCTCGTCTCAATACCCACAGAACACGATCAATGAGATCAAGAACATGATCAATGAGATCAAAATATTCAACGATATTTAATCGAAAGTCTAACATAACGATAACACAAGTTATAATACAAATCAGAAGATAATCAAAGAAATACTCTTTGCAAAGAAATTTAAGGAGAATATATTGCGTACCACCCCGTACCTCAGAATCATTTTTTGAATTAGATAACTCTGATTTTTATTTCATTCTTCTTCTTTCTCTCGGTTTGAACTAAAAACACTCACAAAGATTTGTTTTCTCTCTCCCTCTCTTCCTTCTTTGCTCTCTGCTTAATACACACAAATACATATATATTTTTCTTCCCTCTTTTTTATTCTCCCTCACGGTTTCAACAAAACAGAACACACACATATTAGTTTGTATTTTAAACACACACTTTACTACACCTTAAAGTACAAACACATATTTTCTACACTATTAATTACACACACTCACATTTTCTACAAAATATTCAATGTTTGCTTCTCTTTTTCCAAAGTCTTCACCATTTTTTTTAAAGTCTTCACGTTATTGAAGAGGAAAGTAACATAAAAGTTAAAATATTTATAGTTTACTCCCCTTTATTTCACTAACTATATATATCAACCAAAAAATTTAAATATTTTTTATACTTTCACATCAAAACTCATAATATTTTATACTTAAACTATTTCTAAAAATTTGGGATCTCACACAAGGATTTTTACCTAAGTCTTTTATTTTCATGGGTGGTTCTTTAAAAATTTAGTAACCCCAAACATTATTTGAAAAAGTTGCGATCACGATCATATTAATTAAGATGGAATATATGTGTACGAAACTTTGAAGGAAACCAGCTATAGGATTTGACCCAACAAAAAAAACACAAACTACAATGGTGATGATTTCTTCAACCATTTGGAGCTTGTTAGTGCAACTCGTGCAGTGCATATAAAATATGAAATATAATATAGTACCATATTATTATAGCAGAGAGGCCAGAGATACCTGGAAGGATTGGGTGGTTGGTTAGGACCTGGTGGGTGGGCGACAGCCTCAACAGTGCAGAGATAGTGTTTGAATTAAATCCCCAAAGGATTTTAACAACTTTTTTTTGCTACATTGGAAAAGCTAAAGGATTTTAACAACTTTTATTCTAAAAGCAAAATACATACCCGTGTGCATGGGATTGCGGAAGACATCAAACTTGAACACCATATTCAATTTTTTGTCACATAATGATTCTTTTTACGTGATAATGATTAAACATAAATGTTACTAAGATACTCTTATTATTTTAGCAATTTACCTAATAAGCATATGCTTTAGCTACATAGTCGATTAGTTTATCTATGTTACTAATAAATATACCCTTTTAGAATAATATCTATGCAGTAATCTCTTGTACCAAATTATCGATACCAAAAGACAAACACAATAAAAGTGATTGGATGTTACATACTAATCCTATCACTTATAGATTTGTGGCAAAAAAAAAAATTTATAAAAAAAATTAGTAGATGACATGTAGATCATTTCAACTTCTTTATGTACCAGCCCTGTTGTCTCCTAGAGAGGCAAAGAGATGGCATCACCTTAGCATCCATTGTTGAGCGAAGAAAACAAAGAAAATACTGAAAATTTAAGAAAACGCACACGAGCACGCATATACAAATGCATATTGCCGGAGGTTAAAAGAAAAAAAGAAGAGGAGGAAGAATGGTGCTGGCATGTTAATGCTGGAGGAGACATAGTGTCAGTGCCACTCGTGCGCTGCATAGTCTGTGGATAATCATGCAGATGAGATAAATCCACCATTGCCAGTGAGTTTAAGGTCTGGCAGAGGGGAGACATTGCACAAACATCGCCACAATAGCCTTCGGATCTGAATCAAATCACGTTATCTCTCAATAATTGTGGCAGATGAGATTCCTTATGTCCCCTTGCACCCTTGATATATATTGAGCCAATGCCAGAGGAAGCCATAACTTGAAAGATTACATTGCTCTTCCAGTTGAGTCTTCTTTTCAATCAAAAAGAAAAATGGCTTCCTCTCCTTCCAGATCAAAAACCCGTCACCACGCTCGTTCTATTAGCTTGCCTTCAAGATCTCATCCGCTCATTCTTCAAGTTAATGAGCACTTGTGTAGATTAAGGTCTTGTGAAGCTACCTGTTTGTCATCGTCCTCAATGAGCAGCGGACTACGTGGCCTTGAAGATTGGTATGATTCCATCGACGATTTGCTTCAATCACCACAATCTCAACAAACTTTTGGCCAAGAACGTGATGAGAAGTGGGTTGAGGAGGTGTTGGATGGATATCTCAGTCTCTTGGACGTGTGCGCCACCACCAAAGATGTGTTGGCACACACAAAGCAAGATGCACAAGAACTTCTTTCAATCCTGCGCAGAAGACGCAGTGAAAATGACTTTGGTTGCTACTTAACCTCTAGGAAGCAGGCAAAGAAGGTGATCCAGAAGTCTTTAAAGGGTTTAAAGAGTATTAGAAATAAGAATACTCTCTGGGCCTTGGACAAAGACCCTGAAACCGTTGCAATTGTTAGCATGTTGAACGAGGTTGAAGAAGTCAGTCTTAGTGTGTTTGAATCTTTATTGTCCTATATTGCTGGGACAAAGGGGCAATCAAGGCAGAGTGTCTGGTCTTTGATTTCTAAACTGAAGCAACCTAAAAGTAGAGCAAGTAAAGAAGAAGAAACACTTACAAACGAATTTGATGAGGTGGAGGCTGCATTGAAGTCACTCACAGGTGACAGCATGAACGCTGAGAATTTGCAAAATCATTTGGTGAAGTTGGAGTCAGTCGTAGAAGATCTTGAAGAAGGTCTAGAGTGCTTGTTCAGGCGTTTAATCAAAACAAGAGTTTCTCTCCTAAATATTCTCAGCCACTAGCTGATGGAAAAGATCATAATGCAGATTGCAACATCATACTTGTACATAACAAATATAGTTGAATCCTTTCCTCTGATCAAATATACACTCAGATACTTTTCATAATTACCATTGTTGTTACAATATATGTTTCCCTGTCGTAGGAATGAAACTCAATTAGTATCAAATAAATGCTACTTTACTTGTCTACTGTTCCCTTCCCTCCGCTATCGAAATGTTGGGCCATTTATTACCCAAAATTGCAATTCACATGCACATTAACCCCATCCTCCAGTGATTGCAAAATAAATTGAGATCTTGTCCCTTGTAAGACAGAGTCAGTTAGAGCATCTTTGATAAAAATTGAAATGAAGAGTGAATATTTTTATACAACTTCTACAAACCTTCCTATTCTAGTAGTGAAATAGCCAGAGGTAATCAAATAAATAGCATTGTTCACCAATATCCAACAAAAGTGAAATGAGAATCTGTTTACATTTTGGGCTTATGAAATGGCATCATCGTCACCTATGAGGCACAAACTAAGTAGGTGACTCTGAAATTTGTAAGAATGAATTTTATGAAAACTTGCTTTTACTGCCTGTAAAGTAATCCAACAAAGCTGGCCCCTATAACGCAAATAGNAAGAAGAAACACTCATAAATGAGTTTGATAAGGTCGAGGCTGCATTGAACTCATGCGGTGGTCACAAGACAATCAAATCTGATGCCAACATGAACGCTGAGAATTTGCACAATCATTTGGTGAAGTTAGAATCAAGTGTTGAAGATCTTGGAGAAGGTCTAGAGTGCCTGTTCAGGCGTTTAATCAAAACCAGAGTTTCTCTCTTAAATATTCTCAGCCACTAGCCGAGAAGACCATAGTGCAGATTGCAGCGTTATGAAATACGAAGACTAAGCCAATTGTTTGTCTTTCTTACTTTTACATGACAAATATAGTTGAATACTGTCCTCTGATCAAATATAAACAAAGATACTTTGAAGAACCATTGTTCTTACATTATCCCTTTCCTCGTCTTAGAAATTAAACTAAATTAGAACTACGTCATTTGATGCTCATTTTGATATCATTAAGCACACCTATATCCACCCTCCCTCGCAGCAAAGCTAGGACATCATGACGATAGGATCATAGTTGAGCTCTGATGTAGGTGAGCGCAAAGTGTTGGCAGAATAACTGACAAACACTGTCTGTGACACCAGAGCCCTTAGGCATAAGGATTTTTGGCTCAGACTTTCTTGGTCCACGACTTGTGATATCAACAAGGTTATTAGGCATAAGGTTTNGACACCAGAGCCCTTAGGCATAAGGATTTTTGGCTCAGACTTTCTTGGTCCACGAATTGTGATATCAACAAGGTTATTAGGCATAAGGTTTTTTGGCTCAAATTTTCGCAGCCCAACTCTAAAACATACTGGAGGTGAATCACCAAACTCATGTACTGATCATAGGGGCCTAACTCTTAATACAGGCCCTAAGGTTTTTATCAAGTACTCACGTCGAAAGAGGTACTACTATCAATATATTTAGTTAACAACTAAACACTTTATTACACCAAGGTACTTAGGGACAAGGTGTAACACACCGATTTTTCTCTTTTTTTTTTGAGACGTTAATTGATATAAAAAAAATCCAATAAAAATAACAGAACACTAATTGTACCAATAAGATTTCATTTATCANTTCTCTTTTTTTTTTTTAAAGACGTTAATTGATATAAAAAAAATTCAATAAAAATAACAGAACACTAATTGTACCAATAAGATTTCATTTATTAAAATCATCTCACAATACAAATAAATCTGTCACCATAAATAAATCTCTCAATACGAATAAAACATCAATTATGTCGACATCTTCTCGTCTTTAATACTCTAATTATCTCGTTCCGATCTTTTCTCTAAAATCAACCTAAAAATATTAAATAAAGCGGGAAAGTATATAATATAACAAGGAAAAAAATGTTCAAGGACATTGAATAACAAATAATCAAGTATCACAAAGTATCTCAATCAACAAATACAAATATTATATTTACATATCACACGTTATGCAAAATCTTAATATAGATCTGACACCTCACCAATCACTCCACCTCAACCCGATCTCACGGGTCTCTTGACTAGCTATGCATCGATTATTGGTTGCCACGATCTCGTCTCAATACCCACAGAACACGATCAATGAGATCAAGAACATGATCAATGAGATCAAAATATTCAACGATATTTAATCGAAAGTCTAACATAACGATAACACAAGTTATAATACAAATCAGAAGATAATCAAAGAAATACTCTTTGCAAAGAAATTTAAGGAGAATATATTGCGTACCACCCCGTACCTCAGAATCATTTTTTGAATTAGATAACTCTGATTTTTATTTCATTCTTCTTCTTTCTCTCGGTTTGAACTAAAAACACTCACAAAGATTTGTTTTCTCTCTCCCTCTCTTCCTTCTTTGCTCTCTGCTTAATACACACAAATACATATATATTTTTCTTCCCTCTTTTTTATTCTCCCTCACGGTTTCAACAAAACAGAACACACACATATTAGTTTGTATTTTAAACACACACTTTACTACACCTTAAAGTACAAACACATATTTTCTACACTATTAATTACACACACTCACATTTTCTACAAAATATTCAATGTTTGCTTCTCTTTTTCCAAAGTCTTCACCATTTTTTTTAAAGTCTTCACGTTATTGAAGAGGAAAGTAACATAAAAGTTAAAATATTTATAGTTTACTCCCCTTTATTTCACTAACTATATATATCAACCAAAAAATTTAAATATTTTTTATACTTTCACATCAAAACTCATAATATTTTATACTTAAACTATTTCTAAAAATTTGGGATCTCACACAAGGATTTTTACCTAAGTCTTTTATTTTCATGGGTGGTTCTTTAAAAATTTAGTAACCCCAAACATTATTTGAAAAAGTTGCGATCACGATCATATTAATTAAGATGGAATATATGTGTACGAAACTTTGAAGGAAACCAGCTATAGGATTTGACCCAACAAAAAAAACACAAACTACAATGGTGATGATTTCTTCAACCATTTGGAGCTTGTTAGTGCAACTCGTGCAGTGCATATAAAATATGAAATATAATATAGTACCATATTATTATAGCAGAGAGGCCAGAGATACCTGGAAGGATTGGGTGGTTGGTTAGGACCTGGTGGGTGGGCGACAGCCTCAACAGTGCAGAGATAGTGTTTGAATTAAATCCCCAAAGGATTTTAACAACTTTTTTTTGCTACATTGGAAAAGCTAAAGGATTTTAACAACTTTTATTCTAAAAGCAAAATACATACCCGTGTGCATGGGATTGCGGAAGACATCAAACTTGAACACCATATTCAATTTTTTGTCACATAATGATTCTTTTTACGTGATAATGATTAAACATAAATGTTACTAAGATACTCTTATTATTTTAGCAATTTACCTAATAAGCATATGCTTTAGCTACATAGTCGATTAGTTTATCTATGTTACTAATAAATATACCCTTTTAGAATAATATCTATGCAGTAATCTCTTGTACCAAATTATCGATACCAAAAGACAAACACAATAAAAGTGATTGGATGTTACATACTAATCCTATCACTTATAGATTTGTGGCAAAAAAAAAAATTTATAAAAAAAATTAGTAGATGACATGTAGATCATTTCAACTTCTTTATGTACCAGCCCTGTTGTCTCCTAGAGAGGCAAAGAGATGGCATCACCTTAGCATCCATTGTTGAGCGAAGAAAACAAAGAAAATACTGAAAATTTAAGAAAACGCACACGAGCACGCATATACAAATGCATATTGCCGGAGGTTAAAAGAAAAAAAGAAGAGGAGGAAGAATGGTGCTGGCATGTTAATGCTGGAGGAGACATAGTGTCAGTGCCACTCGTGCGCTGCATAGTCTGTGGATAATCATGCAGATGAGATAAATCCACCATTGCCAGTGAGTTTAAGGTCTGGCAGAGGGGAGACATTGCACAAACATCGCCACAATAGCCTTCGGATCTGAATCAAATCACGTTATCTCTCAATAATTGTGGCAGATGAGATTCCTTATGTCCCCTTGCACCCTTGATATATATTGAGCCAATGCCAGAGGAAGCCATAACTTGAAAGATTACATTGCTCTTCCAGTTGAGTCTTCTTTTCAATCAAAAAGAAAAATGGCTTCCTCTCCTTCCAGATCAAAAACCCGTCACCACGCTCGTTCTATTAGCTTGCCTTCAAGATCTCATCCGCTCATTCTTCAAGTTAATGAGCACTTGTGTAGATTAAGGTCTTGTGAAGCTACCTGTTTGTCATCGTCCTCAATGAGCAGCGGACTACGTGGCCTTGAAGATTGGTATGATTCCATCGACGATTTGCTTCAATCACCACAATCTCAACAAACTTTTGGCCAAGAACGTGATGAGAAGTGGGTTGAGGAGGTGTTGGATGGATATCTCAGTCTCTTGGACGTGTGCGCCACCACCAAAGATGTGTTGGCACACACAAAGCAAGATGCACAAGAACTTCTTTCAATCCTGCGCAGAAGACGCAGTGAAAATGACTTTGGTTGCTACTTAACCTCTAGGAAGCAGGCAAAGAAGGTGATCCAGAAGTCTTTAAAGGGTTTAAAGAGTATTAGAAATAAGAATACTCTCTGGGCCTTGGACAAAGACCCTGAAACCGTTGCAATTGTTAGCATGTTGAACGAGGTTGAAGAAGTCAGTCTTAGTGTGTTTGAATCTTTATTGTCCTATATTGCTGGGACAAAGGGGCAATCAAGGCAGAGTGTCTGGTCTTTGATTTCTAAACTGAAGCAACCTAAAAGTAGAGCAAGTAAAGAAGAAGAAACACTTACAAACGAATTTGATGAGGTGGAGGCTGCATTGAAGTCACTCACAGGTGACAGCATGAACGCTGAGAATTTGCAAAATCATTTGGTGAAGTTGGAGTCAGTCGTAGAAGATCTTGAAG